CTTTCTTTCTTTCTTTCTTTCTTTTTTTCTTTCTTTCACATATGGAGGGTGATCCTACTTATGGCCTCTCTCTCTGAAGGTTACTGCCAGACTTTCCTCCTCTCCACTGGACAACACACATCTTATCCAGCATTTTCTGGGAAGTTTTCTAGATTTGGAGGATATCTAGAAAATACCCAGAGAAAATACCCAGAGAACTACCATGTTCCCTTCCCTCTTCCTAACAATACTTTCACCCTGTGGTCACCCAAGCACGTTTTTGTTTTACCTGACGATTTCTCAACTGCTGCAGCAACTTCTGGGGCCAGCTCACATGTAAGGAGAAATAGAAGCAACAGGTATCTGGACTGGGCAACTTTCATTGTCTCTCTCGTTCCTGCTCCAACCCTGGACTTTGTGTTTTAGGATGCCGGCTCAGGGTGGCCCACTCTGTAGCTAACAGGCTGTGGGGTTATTAGTGCTCTGGGAACTTCACAGCTGGCTTTAGAGGAACCTTCAACTTCTGAGATAAAAGACCAAGTCTAATGACAGGGCCTCAGAACATAACCAACAAGGAGAAAGTTAGGTCAGTTTATTTAAGTAAAAAAAAATTAAATATTCTATGCCAGGCATTGACCTAAGTACTAGGAGTGAAAAATAATTATGATCTGATCCTGCTTTTGCCAGGTCAGATTGTCAATGGGAGAGATGAACAAATAAAAATATTATTTAAATATAAAATGAAAAGTGAAGGCCAAATGTAGTTGCTCATACCTATAATCCCAGCACTAAGGGAGGCCAAGGTGGGAGGATTGTTTGAATCCAGGAGTATGAGACTGACCAAGACCTTTTCTCTAGAAAAAAATTAGTTGAACTTGGTGACATGCCTGTTCCAGCTGCTTGAGAGGCTGAGGCAGAAGAATCACCTGAACCCAGGAGGTCAAGTCTGTAGTGAGCCATGATTGTCCTACTACACTCCAGCCTGGGCAGTAGAGTGAGACTCTGACTCAAAAATAAAATAAAATAAAATAAAATAAAATAAAATAAAATAAAATAAAACAAAATAAAACAAAATAAAATGTGATAAACATAAAAAAAAATCCATAGTGTGCTACGCAAGTACAGACTCAGGGTATTTAGGACAATGATTAGGTTCAACAGAAGTATTCTTCCTGCAGAGGATACCCAGGCAGAGCCCTGGGTATTTAAGATTTCGCCAGGCAACAAAAAGTAGAAAGGTAGTTTTATGTAGATAAACAAAGCACAGACATGCAAATATAATGTATGAAAAAATTATTAGTAACTGAGAACGATGAAAAGAAAGGGAATGATAAACGTGAGCAGAAAGGCATGCTGGTGTCAGCTCTCAGCAGGGCTTTGTATGATAAGCTAAGTGTAGGAGCTTCAACTTCATTCTGCAGGTGATGGGAGCCCACTGAAAAGTCTTAAGCAGAAGAGAAGGACAACATTTCATTTGGCCCACAAGTGCCTGTGGGAAACACAAGATAAGACTTCCACAAGCATTGGGATATATAGGTCTCCTCAAGCTTAGAAGAAGCTTCCACATGAAAAAATTATAAAATAAATCAGATTTTCCACTATCTGTATTCCAAATGCTCATTCCAGTTGCAGTATAACAGGAGGACCAATCTGTTCTCAATGATGTTGATACCTCCTGTAGTGCATTTTCCCAACTCCTGAGGAAGCTGAATGTGAATCATCCAATTACCACATTTGGTTGAAGGAAGAAGAAAGCAGAGAAAGGAAGGTCTCAGTCAGAACGTGCAGTCGTTGTTTTATTCTTATTCTTTTGTGTTGTTTACAGTGTCTCCCATGAAAGAAGAGCCCATCTAGCAGGGGATATGACTAGAGATTCATTGGGCCAGTGACAACCACAAAATAATCTAGGCATGGGAATGAACTACCGTGATCTAAGTCAAAAGGACTATTGTGATAGTTTGCCCATTTCCTGGCCTCTAGTTGTTCAAATGAAAATAAGAGAGGGAAACATTAAATGATTGTGTATTGAGATGGAAGATCTGTCCCTGATGGAGGATGGGAGGAAACAGGCAGGGCAGAAACCTGGTCTTAAGCCTGTTGTGCTAGGAACCACTTTGAGAGACAAAGCGGGATCAGATGCATCTAAAGGGAATGTGGGCAGTGTTGGAGAGGGACCCATCTGTGGACAGAGAGGAGAAAGAGGGTGATGACCACAGCTGGGCGTGGTTCTTCCAGGTGGCAAGGTAGGGAAAGGGACAAGCAGATGTTCTCATTCTGTCCAATCCTTCTTAATGGACAGGTTCCACTCCCAGGTGAGGTGGTCGTGCTTGTCATCGTCGGTGAAGAAGGACTTGTTGTGGTATGTGCCCCGGGCCAGCATGCCCTTGGGAGCCTCCTCGACTGGAGTAAGGAACTCATACTCCTCAGGCCGAGGCCCATAGCTGCCAACCATAAATGTTGCTTTATCCACTAGGAAGAAAAAAAAAAGCTCATTAGGGTAAGAGTCTGATAAAGGAAAAACACACTGCAAACTAGAGAATTTGGAGATCAACTTACAAGAATGAAAAGCAATAGTTTCTAAGCCTGGCTAAGCATCAGATTTACCTGGGACATCTTTTTTTTTTTTTTTTTCCAATGCCTTTTAATAATACAGTTTTCTTTACCTTCCCTCCCAAGATCTATGGTTCAGTAACCTGCCATGGGTTCCAAGGATCAATGTTTTTAAGACCACCACAGCTGATTCTGAGTATCAGGAAAGTTGGGAAACTGGTGTCTTAGATCAAGGAGAATTAAGACTCTTTTTAATGGAGATATAGGAGATTATACCATTAAAAAACCCATGAGTGGATTGCCTGAGCCCGCGGGTTCGAGACCCACCTGGGCAACGAGACCTCATCTCTACAATAAATCAAAAAAATCAGCCAGGCGTGGTAGCACATGCCTGTAATTTCGGCTACTTGTAAGGCTGAGGCGGAAGGATCACCGGAGCCCAGCAGGTTGAGGCTGCGGTGGCTGGGAGCGGCCACTGCACTCCAGTCTGGGCGACAGAGTGAGACTCCAACTCAAAAAAAAACAACAAAAAAAAACCCCCCAAACCAAACAGGTTGAGACCTGAGTTCTGATCTCAGCCCCAAAACCACCTAAGTCACATAGCATTTTTGTGCCTCCATTTCTTTGTCTACATAATAGACTTTAAAAATCTTCTATGTATAAACTATCATTCTATGAACATATAAGTTGGGGAAGATAAGGTAATAGTGATCACAGTGGGCAAAATTCATGGATAGAATAATTGGATGGAAAGGGAAAATCAGTAAATTGGTTAAAAAAAAAAAGTGAAGTACTAGGGCAAATAGTGAAAATAGCCAAACAAATTTATTTATAGGCAGGTAACTTGGATATATATTAAGAAAAGTTGGGGACTAGAAAGTATAAATAAGGGTAGGTAGATAGACAAGTAGCATATAATTGGCTAAGTGTTGCTAGTAAGTTTGAAGGAACAGCTGTAGACATGCCATTGTCCTTTGGAAAATAGAAAATTGAACTATTTTTTCATGAGACTAAGTATTGGAAAGGCCAATCAATATTTTTCAGCCTGATGACATTCTCTGGGATTTGAGCAGTTGTCTAGTTCTCTATGTCAGGAAAATTTATTAGACAATTTCTCCCCTCTCTTTTGTTTGTTACTTTGACAGAATAGACCTATGTATGTCACTGTTTCCCACATCTAGGGAAGAGAACCTCTCAGGTGAAAAGGAGCTGGAAAGGTGCATCCATCACCTTCCTACCGCTCATTTCTCTCTGCCCATGTTAATGAAAACAGAAGGCAGGTTTCCAAGGCACGTTGAGAATAACTACAGATTAGGTAATGTTGTCATATAATTTGTTTCAGTTAGATAGGTTTTCTCAATACCAGAAAGGATATATTTTTTAAAATTTCTCTGTTAGGAAATTGAGCACTGCTTCCCTTGTCCCCTGTACCACCTCCCACTCCCACCCTAACACATTTAGCCCTGGGCAAGTCTTTCCTGTCTTGGATTTCTCTGACACTGGGTTTGATACTTGTGAACTGCTTTTTATACTTTTGAAAGTATTTTCATATTCTTTGTTTCATTCAAACTTGTTTTGGTTACTCTTACCCTTTGTGAGTAATGAAGTTGAATTCCAGAAACTGATTGCTGAAGGATATTGGCTGAAGGATATTGTCTTATAAGGAGACTAAATTAGGTCTCCTTAACGTTGGCCTTGCTATTAATGTTGCAGTCAGAGGTGTATGTGTGTCTTTTTCTAAGATGAACATCCACAGCTTTTATCAGATTCTTACATGAGGTATGACTGAAAATTGTCAGCAACTGGAAGTTGAAGTATCAGTGACAAGCTGTTTGGGACAGTGTAAAATGTGAGATCTCTTACCTTTCACCCCAGTCCGGTAGGTGTGCTGAACATATTTCAGGCCTGACACAATATCCTTGTTCACCTGTAGGTGGGAAGAATCCAAGAAATTCAGATTAAAGAGGGCCTTTTATTTCTCCTCATTTTTCATGTTGATTCTGGCTAGTTGAATCTTCTCCAAGGATGAAGAGACTGAAGATTTAGTTTAGAATAAATGTTTCTAGCCGGGTGTGGTGGTGTGTGTCTGTACTTCCAGCTACATAGAAGGCTAAGGAGGAAAGATCGCCTGAGCCTAGCAGGTCGAGGCTGCAGTGGCCGTAAGCGTGCCACTGCACTCAGTCTGGGCGACAAGAGTGAGACTCCAACTCAAAAAAAAAAAAAAATGAATAAGTGTTTCTACAAACTCTTTAGCATGGTCATGAGGCAGAAATCAGAGAGAAGATCACAAGATTCACTGTTGCCAAACTGATTTTGATCATTGCATATTATGATGTTTTTCTGAGGAGTGGTAGGAGAAATGGCTTATTAAATCATTGTCTCAATATTCTTCATCATATTTCTCCTTTTTCAGTGGTGCAAGGAATGGTGTTAAGCTCCCCCTCCTAGGTACTACTGGCCAGAAGACCATCCTTGTCTTAGGAAGGGTTTTACAGATACCAATGGAAAATGTTGTGTAAATAGCTGAAAAGCCATAACCTCAGAAATGATCCACCTAGCACATGAAAAACAAATAACAAGGAGGAAAGCCATAATGGAAAAACAGGTCTGGAGGATGGTTGTGCCTGTAATATAACTGAGATTGGAGTCTAGAAGTAAGGAGATGGGCCACACAAAACCTTCCTCGTCAGGAATAGGTGAAATCCACTTGCATCTGGCAAGCATTTTGGATGTCTGTCATTTTCAGACCTTGTCTGAGATCTTGCTATTTTCCCAAGCCTTTCAAAGAAAATTCACTAAAGCAGAATGAAAATGTAGACAGCCCAAGAACTTTGTTTTTCCATGATTCATTTTACCTGGGACTGACCTAGGGTGTCTGTTAATTTTATGCAATGGTCATGTCTATACAAACAAATTAAAGTGGACATTGCGTCATTAGCTGCAGAACTTGGTTAACTATTCAGCAATATGAAGAATTAAAGCATCTTCAAATACTTCTTCCCCAACAGTAATTATGGCTCCTTTTTTGTGTTGGTTTAACAATAGTTAAACCAATTAGCCACTGCTGTCTTTTGTTGGCTGTCAGGTAGCAGAGCAATAAACACTGCCAGTCTGGATTCTAGATGTAAATCTGTAGTATAAACCTATCAAAAGCAGGCAGAAAACAAAACAAAAACCAAGCTTCATTGAAGAGACTGTGATAAAATGAAGCCCAAACTTTCTAATTACTCTGACTGTCAGATGTAGCTCATAGCCGGGCTTGGTGGCTCAGCCTGTAATCCTGCGCTTTGGGAGGCTGAGGTGAGTGGATTGCCTGAGCCCGCGGGTTCGAGACCCACCCGGGAAACTTGGTGAGACCTCATCTCTACAATAAATCAAAAATCAGCTGGGCGTGGTAGCGCATGCCTGTAGTTCCAGCTGCTTGGAAGGCTGAGGCGGAAGGATTGCCGGAGCCCAGCAGGTCAAGGCTGCGGTGGCCGGGAGCGGCCGCTGCACTCCAGTCTGGGCGACAGAGTGAGACTCCAGCTAAAAAACAAAACAAAGCAAAAAACCCAAAAAAGCACAACAGATGTAGCTCATTGGAATAGGGAAAATGATTGCATCTTTCTAGATGTCCTCAGGCTTGTTCCTTGGACCTAGTGGGAGATGTGACCTGGTGAGAAAAAGACCTTAAGAAGAGGAACAGTAGTAGGACAGCAATAAGGACTAGGAACTTCAAGACAAAGAGGTTTTTTTTGTTTCTTTTTTAACCACTGCTCCATGGAGGGTCCATTGAATATAAACACATTTGGGATAGGTAAGAATGAAAATTATGAATATTCATAATATCCACATCTTCTGCCTGCACCTCCTTCTCCATTTTATCTCCAACCCCAGGAGGAAGAAGCCTTGGTGATATGAATAAAAGTGAGACATGTTGAAGTCAGAAATAAGACATTTTCTTGGGAGGCAGAAAGAAATAGGAGGAGGAATTAAAAGAACCATTCTAGGCTAGGTTTTCAGAAAGTGCTATAAAGTTTGGGAAGAGAAAATGAAGAACATTGAGAGCAACTAACAGAGATAATGAAACAAGATTTCAGGATATGTTACAGATGCTATAAATGCAGACTTTCTTGATCATTTTTCCAGTGATATTAAGGATTTAAATTGATTTTTTTTATTTTCAGCTTTGACCTGGCATTTTTTCTAACTGTAGCTCCACACTGGGCCAGGTCACAGCAGGTGGTTCGACTTTGTGTGGGTTACACAGAGAGTGGTCAAACCTCTGAAGTGGCTGGGACTTGAAAGCCCCTTTCTGTGTTCTTCTCCTGCATCACCCTAATGTGTATCCCCGATACCCAGGCCCCCATCAGCATTCCTCCTTGGTCTCCCCACCCATAACAGAAGCCCATGCTCCAAGGTTTTCCGGCTCATTCACATCAAAATTTACCTTTAATTTAATTTACATTTAATTTAATAAAAACATGCTTACTAAATCAACAGATTAATGCCATAGTGTCAATGATTACAAATTGAACTGATGTGCAACCCATTCTAGGCACATTTGGACACAATGCCTTACAAGCCCTCAGGTGCTTCAGTGATAAATAATATGCCAGGAAATAAGTAAGTGAACCATAGCTTGGTGCCTATTATAGAATGTCAACAAATATTTCCAGGATGAAATTATTTTGAGGCATATTTGGATGTGGTGGGAAGTGATTATCCATCGACCCTGAGTCATATCCTGCACCTCAAGGAAGAAGGTCCCAGTGGGCAAATAAAGAGGGCAGATGGAGTAGACCTTGGTGGAGCCCGGGTCCTGGAGAATATGGCTGCATGGGAATGAGGGGCAGACAAGGCAAACACAAACCATTAAATGCAAACAGTGTGTTTCTGAGATACTTGTTTTCAAAGTCAAGGTTATTTTTCTTGAGATTTTGGTTACAGATTGAGAAATATGCCTATTCATTAGATGTCAGTTTATTTCTTATTTTGTTTTGCTCTTACCTGGTCACCTGCTCCACAACTATAATTGTCATGTTTAGTTATTAGGAAATACCACATTCCTTGGATTTATGTAATCACTGAGCAATTAGAGCTAGGGCCTTATTTGTTCTGTTTTCTTTTCCTGTTAGTTTATTCCTTCATTTGTCTATTTCACAATATATATTTACTCAATAACTACTATGCATAAAGTTTTGTGTAAAATCTTTTTGAAGAGTGGTGTATAATTTCATTCTAGTTCAAGATGTTTAGGTTATATAAGGAAGAAATAACACAAATGGTACTATACAAAGCAATCTGTGCCTTAAGGATGTGTTAGAAGTTCACAGAGAGAGGGATCCCTTTGGCTTAAGTGATGGAGAGCTCAAGGGTTCTGGCTAGGAAAAGACACAAAGTAAGTGTGGGTTTCAATAGGTAGAGCTCAGAGTTGGGAAGAGGACATTCTAAACCCAGGTAAGGGGTGGGGAGTGGTGAAACAAACAAAAACTATGCCAACAAAGTTGAATATGGAATTTAGTCACTGATTATAGGAAAGATTTAAACATTATAAAAATATCCAGGACAAGATACTTACTTTGAAGTTAATTTTGACTTTATACTCAACACCTTCCTTTAGCACAAAAGTTTCTTTTTTGAGAGCTTCAAGATCCCCTGTAGAAGAGGATTTAGACAGAGTTTATCATTCTCAAATGCATATATATACAAATTGAGGAAAGACATTTAAACTCCAGAGCCGTTTGTTTGTCCCATTAGAGCACACATTTTATTGTGACTAAGAGTCAAGTCCTTTCCAAAGACTTTGGTCGTGAGGAGAACGAGAGAGACTGGGAAGGTGGGTATTACAGAAAAGAAAAAATGGGCATCTGAAGGTAATAATCAATTCAAAGAGCATTTGGGTTTAGTTCCTGTACACACACACACACACACACACACACACACACACACACGTCTGAAATTTTACAGATCAGTTGTAAAAGAAACTTGATCATTCCCCTGCCCTCAAACTCAACAACATTGTAAATATGCAAGATATCATCAGTAATAAGTCATGAAGATAAATCTTTTTTAGTTGCCAATACTAAAAACAAGTTTTAATCAAGCATTTCGAGCACAGTCTGAATTATCTTTTTATTCTATTTAATATGATATTATTACCTTAGGGTCAAACAAAGAAGAGAGTAAAGAATGTATCTACCTCCCAATTTAAAAAGTTTGAGAAAAAAATTACATATATATAAGAGTGACAGCTATTTGTTTTTAAAGATTGGGTAACGTTTGTGGCATTTTCTAGCTTTTAAAAATGTACTTGTTTTCATTCTTTTTATCCTTTGAAATAAATATTCACTTTTGTTTAATGCAAATTTTATATTATTTTTCTTAAAGAAGATCACTTAAGTTATAAAATCTTCTGGCTCCACCAAACTGGGATCCAACTCTGATCCCCATACCTTGGTTACAGAGAACATCATTCTCTGTTCTTTTCTTGATGTGATCCTTTATAATTGGACATTTAAGTGTGTGTGTGTGTGTGTGTGTGTGTGTGTGTGTGTTGCATAGCACTATGCTTGTGCTTCATGAACACAGCTGGTACCAGTATACGGGGGAGTGGGACCCAAAAACCCCAGAATTTACTTATAAAAATTATGTATTTATTCTTACATGTTTAAACTTCAGTCACCTTCAAAGTACTTTCTGTTTGATGCAATATACCTATTGAATCACCTGTTTTTCCACTGCTCAAAACAGTTTTTGAACTTTTCAATTTTGATGCCTTTCAGTGCTTCTATCATTTTTTGTTTCACCTCCTCCATATTGGCAAAACATTTCCCTTGGAGGACATTTTCATCCAGGAAAACAGAAAAAGTTGCTTGGGGCAAGACTGGTTGACTAGGAAGGGTGGGCCAGTAGGGTCATGCCGTTTGGGTCAAAAACCGCTGAACACTCAGCGTCGTGTGAGCAGGTTGTTCATGTATATCACCCACCATGAAATGGGCAAACACACTGAAAGGATCTCCCCCCAGAGTTCACTGAAACCAAATGCAACCTCTCACAACAACACTAGCTATGACATTGATGTTGATGGGTTCCTAGAACACTTACTTAGTTCAAAGCTTGTATTACAAGGGGCCCACCCTTCAAAAAATAATTCAGTTTTTTTGGAGGGTCCTCCCTTGTATACCTCTGGGATTCACCTCAGCAATTTTGTGAAAGAAAACCAAATTTGGGTTCTTTGCTGGGAAAATGGACAGAGACTGAGTTTTCTTTTCACTAGCATCAGGCTTTCTGAACAAAACAGATTTCCTTAGCACTAAATCAGACCTTGCAAACCAACAGCTGTATCTGGTAATGTTACACAACTGTTCAAAGGAAGAGGTCTGAGTTCTGGTGAGAGAGTGAGTTTCTGTCCTCGAGAGATGTGAGATGTGGGGGTAGCTGAATTTGTGTGTGTCTGCTCTGATGATTTCAGTTGAACAGGAAGTGTGTCTTCTCAGTCTCTGACTTCCTCCCTCTGACAAAAAAAAAAAGCCCATATAAGGTAAAGAGTGGATAAGTCCTGTGAGAAGGGAACTATCTTGCTGCTAAGCCTACTGTTCTAGGCTTGTGCTTTGCTCTGTCTCATAAGGGTCTAATTTTTGAATTTGGTAACTTTTTTTCCTACTAAAGACCTGCCTTTGATGCCTCTAATCTCCCTTTCTGTGCCTCTTGTCTCATTTCCCACAATACCCACCTTCCCAGTCTCTCTTCATCTCCTAAGTCTCAGGAAAGGACATGACCCTGAATCACAATACAAATAAAAGAACAACATCTTAATTTGTACCCCTTTGTAAGGGGAGTTTTTAATTTAAGTTTTAAGCTAAACTTCTGATAAGTAAATAGCAGTGGAATTTCTAGCATTATTCAGGATTGCTTTTCACCTTCAGGTAAGTTTTGTAGCTCATAAAAGATTGATACTTTCTCTGATGTTTATATTATTTGAACATTACAACTTTAGAAGCATATAACTTACTTATTAATATTTACATTAGCAATTCATTATATGACTAGCAATTCTCTTACTATTACGTGGAGATAAAAAACCCAAAGTAAATGTGATACAAATAAATATATCAAGTGTGTTTGCCTGTATACCTTCTTCAATTAAATAGAGATAGAAACTGAGCTTTTCATTAAACATGGTAAATACTGTGTACTCTAAGAGTAATGATTTGTAAACTGGTCCCAGTATATACCTCTGAATTCACCTTACTAGGGTTTCCTGTTGCTGGGACAGGAAACAGAAACTGAGTTTTCTGTGTGATACCTTAGGCCACTCTAATCAGTACATGTATGTCCACTCACCAGTAAGGTCCATGGTGATTGGTCCTGGAGCACTCTCACAAACCAGGGTAAGCCGAGTGACAGTGACATTCGGGGCTGTGGGGTCTGCAGGAGTCAAAAGAGGATGTAAGCACAGGGAAGAGATATGTGTGTGTATGCATTTCAAGTGGGGGAGAGAGAATATGAAAAGAAGAGTGATTTCTTTATCTGAAGTAGAAATATATATGAAAATGGTAAGTTCACCATGCCTGGTCTAAATGACCTTATAAAACACAACTCTATTTCTATTTCAGGCACTTGTAGGTCCATCGTAATTATGGACATCCATAATTTCCTGAGTGGTTATGGGTAAGGTAATCTGCTAGTTGTTCACTACCCATTCATATCTTTGGGCTGTGTCTTGTTCTGTCATTGTGTACGTGAAAGAAATGAACAGTTAGGTGAAAATTGAGAAAGAGAAGAAAGCAAGGAAATGTGAGAGATTATGGAGAGAGGGGAATACAATTCTAAGTAGTAGTCTGGAATTCTTTCTTAATCTTTCCCATGTGTTATTTTTGTCTGTTCCATTGCTGACTTGTATCTCGTCTCCAAAGAAGATTTTATGATACAGTTTATAACTTTATTCAGCATATATAGAGACCCAATTTTCACCCCTACACAATATGTCTATGTAACAAATATGCATGTGTATCTCCAAATTTAAAATAAAAATAGAAAGTGTGCCTAACCCACTTAGCCCTACAAGTTATTGGTCCTCTTCCTTTTTTCCTGCTCCTGAGTGATTGAAATGTCTGGTTCTCAGGGCTCTTCACCTACTCCCACTCCCACCCCCATACACATACCTGCTACCACAGGGCCATCCCCCAGCAGTGTTTTCTTGTATTTAGTAAGACTTTCATCATCTTTATCCATCTCCTGCAGCTCTTTAAGGGACTTCTGAGGTGGAGGCTTGTAATTGAGCTTGCCATCCAGGTCATCCTCCTCCTCCTCCACGTGTGGCTCTGGGGCCTTTTCTGTCATTTTGATCTATTTCAGAGAGAAAGGATGATATTCCAGTAGCCAAAAGCCAGTGAATATGAGAGATGTTTGTGGGCTAACAGTATTAGCATCCGCTTTGCTCCAAAGACTTCTGTAATCATCAGTGTCTTTCCAAATATTTTTCTGAATTCAATCTCATTATATATCATGAAATAACAATATAATGTATTTTTGTCATTTTTTTCTCACCTGTCTGAATTTCTCTGTACTGTGGTATTTCCTACTCATTGAATAAAACTGACAAGAAAGAAACAATTCATCTGTGGATAATATGTTACAAATGAGGTAACATAACACAAGTATTCCTAGCATTGAAGCAATGGACCAGACCAAATAGTTATAGGCATTATCACAGTCCTCCAAATCCAGCCAGCCTTGCTAGTGTCAAAACTCTCAGCACACACAGTTCCACTGATAACAGATTAAAGAGGTAGTCAGAGTACCTGCCAAAGGAATGATTGTCTTTCTTCCTTTAGTTGACTCTCCCTGAACTCCTACAACACTTCAAAGGTGACTCATGAGGAATGTAGACCTTTACGATACCTGCCTGAGATGTCAGAATGGTTCACACCAAACACTGTTAATAACTGCTTAAGGGAAAGGTACTAGATTTTATGTTTCTCTTGAATCCCCCATAACACTTGGATAGATCAGACATTTTATATATTTCCAGTGCTTCATTTATTATGTTCTATATCTATAGATGTTCTGTCACAAAACAACAAAATGTCACAAAATAACAAAGAACACTTTAAATTTCTCTATACAAAATTGTAAGTATAAGTTTGCCTTTAGTACCTTTCCATCCATCTCCCTTCCCTTGGTTCATTTCTCTTTAGTCCTTCCTTCCCCTCCTCAGGTTTCTAGTGACCTTAAGCTCTGAGGCCCCACCTGAGGATACCCTAGAGTCTTCCTTCTATTATCACTCTACACTTACTTGTTTCTTGTTAAAACATTTAGGGGAAATATGATAAAATTATTCACATGTTGGTGTTAATAACTGAATAATACATTCAAAATTATTACACCTAGGCATGTATAGTCACAGCTGAAATGAACCTTTGAGGTGATATATTCCAACTCCTCATTTAATCATTGAGAAAACTGATACTCAGAAGTTAAGAAAATTACCCAAGTTCACATAGCTGGATGTGATGCAGTGTCCTTACCAAGAGGAATAAATCTCTATGGGAATTCCAGGCCCTGTGGCTGGAAGCCACACTTGAGTAAGGAGATCATTTTTTAATTTCCCTCAGTTTTACCTCAAATGTAACTCATTTCCCTGCCTGTGAGTAAACACTTTATTGTTCCTAAGTGACACAAATATAAGACAATATCTATCACATCTCATCCTGAGTGACTCTGCAAAACTCAATAAAGTTCCCTGAGAGTGAAAATATCTCTGGACAAAATCAGTTGTGGTTTTGAATTCTAGTGTCACTATCTTTGGCAAGTGGAGGAAAAATAATTTGGAAGTGAAGCCAAACAAAAAGCAATCTTAACAGAACCCAAAAATAAAAAATTAAGAAATGATATCCCTTGACTCATTAATCCTCTTCTAGTTAAGTAATAGCCAAACATAATGAGCGAGCACTGCTCAACTCTGAAAACAGTATTGCAATGCCCAGGTTCACTTCCTGTACAGGAAAAAAACATGTAGGCCTGTTCCTATGGCAACTCTTTGAAGAGCCAGCACCATTTAAATCTGAGACACTAGAGAAAGCAGAATAAACACAGTGACTAACTCAACTCATATCCAAACAACACTCAGGAAAAGTGAATGAAAAAAAAGAAGAATGTAGTGTGTAGATATTGTAGGTTGTGTGTAGTGTAAGGATAGTCATTTAGGGACAGATGAAAAACCAACAAGATTGGACTAATGAGATGAGGCAGGTTCTGGTATGGTGACTCCAGGAGGCTAACCAGAACCCAGGTGGCTCCAGGAGGGAGGAAACTACATAACAAACCTGCTGACAGAGCACCAGGAAAGCTATTTACAGAGGTGGGTGTCCCAGCCCCCATGGGCAGGCCTTTCTGTAATATACTTCTTGGTTCTAATAAGTCACTTGCTTGAAAACTGACAATTGGATGGTGACATTACATCTAGTCACTAGCTCACGATGATTTCAATAACCCTCAGGGAATGGCGATTCTGCAGCTTGATAGGAGAGAGGGAGAGACAGAGATAGAGATAGCAATAGAGATACATACACACACACACACACGCATGCACGCACACACACACACACACACACACAGAGAGAGAGAGAGAGAGAGAGAGAGAAATGAGAAATTGATCTTGTTTAGGATAAGATTTGCCAACTTCTAACTGTGCGATCATTGGAAAATCCATTTATCGTCATCTAGGTCTTAATCTTCTCATTAGTAAATCTGAGATATGTCAGTTTATACTTTCTTGATTCACTGCAAACAACAATTGTCTCACAGAAACAAAACATACATTTATTTACAGACATTGAAGAGTGGAGGATAATGTGGGATTACTGTATGAAAGTATTATAGTCAAGAGGAGAACATTCAGGACTGTTAAGATTATTTGGTCTAATGATAGTATTAAAAAAAAGAAATATGAGACTAGATGATCCAAAACTCCCTTACTCAGGGAAGCTGATTAAAAAAGTAGTAAATAGCAAATAAAGGACTGGAAAAACAGTTCTTAGGGAAGGTCTTTTAAAGCAAAATTAAAGTCATATGATTGGTGAGCACCTACTGTTTATAAGACACTATAATTTAGCAAATACTGATGTTTAATTTACTCTTTGAGGTGGAGAAAGAGTTGGAAGTTGGGCAATCTAACCATACTAAAAAGGTTCAGCTGGTTTGATTGATGGTTCTTCACCTTTTGCAGATTACAGGACTCTTCAAAAGTCTGATAACGTTATGGTCTTTATCTCAAAGAAAAAAGGAATAAACTTGTAAAATTGTGCATATGATCTAGGGGTTCGTGGACCCCTGAAGTCCTTCATAGACTTTATTGTAGTCCAAGATCTCCAGATTAGGAATATGACTTTGAAACTGTAACTTTCCAGAAGCATGAAGCAGGGTTGAGTGTTACAGAGGAAGTTTTCGTCTCCATGAGGCCTGGCTAGATCATTGATTCAATGTGGCCTCAAGCTCAAAATCATGTCCATTTACCCAGAACATTGAATATGTGGATGAAAAAGATATCAGGTGACATCTGTGTCTGAGGGAGCATGGTCTTAAGCTTGGCAGAAGAGTACAGGGGCACAGGAAAAAGATCTTTAGGAGAAGAATCCTGTGGTCTATCTTTTTGATCTTGGATAGTTATCTCTTCACTGAACTTGGCCTTGTCCTGCAGGATCTTTGATTGGGCTTTCCTACTAATTAGCTGTGCCCGTTGAGCAAATGTTTTAACCACTCTTGATCTGACTTTCCTCATCTTGGTAGATGGGGGATTAGAGAACACCATTTCTAGATGCTTTACTTTGCTCAGGCCTCTGCATATTTCTCCTGACCTGCAGTCATGTGTCAGCTGGGTTACCAGATACTCAGTTACCTCATTTCACTTGTGTGTAAAAAGAATATCTATTTCTGTTTTATTAAATTAAAACTTATGTGAATCCCCAAAAGATGCTACATTTTAAAATTTTATTGAATTAACTTTTTTCACAAATGTATTATTTAGACATTTCTTTGCATAATAAAGGACACTATAATAACTACAAATAGTTACTGAACCCTTATCATGAGCCAAAAACTCAGCAATGATGGGCTCAGTGCTTTATATGCATTATTTCATTCAGTCATCACAATGTTTGAGGTAGGCATTATTAGTTAGATTACAAATGCAGAGACATAGGAGAAAATATTGAATATTTCAACTAAGCAAAAATTTAAAATTTTTATTATACAGATAGTGAAAAGAGTAGTGGTCTGTACTCTAAAAATGAGATATTTGCCATGCATATATTGATAAGAGATTAATATCTGGAACACAAAAATACCTCATACAAATCAATTTTTAAAAAATAGTACTATACATATTTAAGATGTAAAACATATGCTTTGGTCAACATAGATAGTGAAAAGGTTACTATAGTTAAACAAATTAACACGTCCATCATCTCACCCATTTATGGGTGTGTATGTGTGTGTGTATGTGTGCACGTGTGTGGCAAGAACATGTAAAATCTGCTTTTTTAGCAAAAATCTCAAAGTACAATATTATTAAGTCTGTACTGCATTTTAATTTATCTCTGGGTAACCTTAGATTTTCCCAAAGCCCCAACCATAAGTGGTGTATACAGTTTGACAATGACTTCTCAAACTATATGCATGCCTATTTAACTACAAACATCAATTTTCTCTTTTTATCCTCCCATTTTCTGGATGCTTGCTAAAGTAAGAATAGGAATTTAATGAAAACTCTACAGACTGTTTTCCAACCCCATCATCTAAAGGACAACTGATTTTATTATTAATAATACTTAAAATGCATAATCACATATAATGCTATGAGTTTCCTAGAGAATTATCTCATTTTGTTCTCACCACAACTTTACGGGCATTGTCATTCTCTTTTACAGATCAGGAAACTAAAACTCCAGTTAAATAACTTGCCCAAGAAGATATGCCATGTAAGAGGCAGAACTAAAATCTGAGCCCAGATTGTCTGACTTTTAGGCCCTATGCTCCGCTTCTTTCTACTTTCAGCTGCATTTAAGAAGTTATAATGAAAGTAGAGCTTGTTAGTCATCTTGAGAGTCTATCTAGGGTGCACAAGCAAAGGTAAGTGATTCTTTGCAAGCTCTGCGGGGACAGCTTTAACAAAGCAGGGAAACATTTCAGCGCAACTCTGTTCCTGTGTTGCCTTGTGCAAGCTTAACCTCTCTGAGTCCCAGTTTCATCCTCTGCAAAATGAAATCGTTGCATTAGAAGATCACTGAGGCCCTTAATTCAGTGACTCTAATGCTCTCTAATTTAAAGAAGGTTGCAAAATTGAGAAAGGAAAAGAGGAAGTAGAGGTGGGGTTGGGATTGGAGCATCTAGTCCATCAGCATAGAACCTTCTGGTTGGTCTTTTCTCACCTTTTCAGCAGCTCACACACTGTTCTGCAAAGAGCAGGGTTGGTTTTTGTTTGTTTTTGACTTTGGTCCTTTACACAAGAAGAGTGAAATGGAGAATTAGCAATATATATTTAACAAAGTTAATGTGGACTCTACCTGTCAGGCCCCAAAGCACATACCATTTTTTTTTTTTTTTTTTTTTTACATGCTTACTACTTCAGTTTTCTGTATTTTCTGCTTCCCAGATACTTACAGAGATTAATTTTCACAGCGGAGCCTCACACCCTGATGCTTGCTGTTCAGCAAAGCATTGCCAAGCATTAGATGTGCTGAGATGGGATTTAATCTTCTCAGGCTCAATTAAAATGTCAAATTAAATTAAGATGGTTACTCACAGCATGCATATGCTGTATCACAAGCCAATATTTTTGCTTGCAAACTTGGTGAAATTTATAAGACATTAAAAGTGAAATACACTTAAGAATTTACACCAATCTCAGGAGAGAGCACACTCATCTGGTTCATTAATACAGTTCCAAATGAGTTGAGGGCAAAAAAAGGTGAAACTTCTGAATTTAGATGAAATAAATCACCTAGTTAATTCAAAGAAAGGTGACCTTCATGTCTAATAGAACATAGCCTTAGAGTCAGGTGGACCAGGGATTCAAAACCAGGCTGTGCAATTGATTTATTACAGGATTTAAGCAAGTTACTAATTTCACTGAGTCTCAGTTTTGCTACCAGTAAAGTGGGAATAATAATCTTGCTCTGTGGGGTTGAGAGATTGGAGAAAACTTACAAGAAGAGCTATACTGGTCAAGAATAGATGTTTGATGAATAATCGTTCCTTTCTTCTTCTCCTTTTCCCACTTTATGTAGTCTGTTTTGTTGCATAGCTTCAGCAAAGCTAGGTCATGGCCTCCACACCAAATGCTTTCCCCTGGATGGCCACTGACCATGTGCATTCCTTCCTCCTCAAAAATAGATTTTGTTTCTTTGAGGAATACGGAAGAGATAAGACGTTCTGGGAACTGCAAGGTTTGTTTACAAACTGAATCAACCTTAAAAATGATACTAACGCCATTATATTTCTTTTAAAAAGCTCCCACATAAACAACTTAATTTTAGATTTTATTTATTGCTCCCTTTCCTAGTTGAAGCCACAGGTCACTCTGTGAATGATGATAAATATCAGTGAACACAGGCATTGCTAATGAAGAGAATTCCCTCTGGCTCTGGAGCAAAATACTGTGGAGACTTAACTCATGTTAAACTGGATCTGCCTGATTATGCTAGACTCATGCATCTAGACACGCAGGCTGTGAGGATTAGAGTATTAGGTAGAAGAGGTAGAGATGAGAGATAGGGAAGCGGGAAGACAGGAGATATAGGGAGAGACTGGTGGAAGGAGACAGAGGAGAAAGAGAGGGGCGAAAAAGAAGAGAATGAGACAGGGGAGGGACAGGGGTAAAATAGAGAAAGAAGAGGGAAGAAGGAAGAGGGGAAAACTGGGAGACGGGGAGACAGAGGACAGAGAGAAAAATGTGGAAGTTCCAGAAGTAGGGGATTTCTATCAGAGAAGTACTTAAGTAATCATCAACATTTTCTGTCACTCCTGTTATCTAAACTCCCTGCTGACTAGGATATGTCTGACTTTTTTCAAATATGTGACTTCAGATCAAGTCTATGGTAGCAGGTCGTGGAGATTTGGGCCATCTATAAAAGACTGCTGACATTTCAGAGCTACTCAAGGACTTGCTGCCTGCCTGGTGATTTGGCACATTTGGAGATTCCAAGTTTCTCTCTCAGGACACCAGAAGTCTCAGTTCTGAATCCTTCAACTTCTAGTCTCTCAGTAGTCCCTAGTCACATGGAGGATTTGGTATCCCTAGGCTCCTCAGGGCTGCTGTCTACAACCCCACTCCCATAAAGAACATTGGAAGCTTCGAAACTGAATGAGAAGAACCAAACCAGTGCCTGAGAGGAGAGTATTTTGTTAGTTACAATACACATTATAATCAGTCAATCTAGTACAAGTTATTAGAAACAAAATTCTTTGACATTTCCCTTTGTGAGAGAAACAATATACTCTTTCTTGCCTGCGCCTTCATAGTACACTCTTTTAACCCATATTTTGGTGCAAAAGGAAGGAGAACCCAAGGGGTCCAATGAACTATTCTGAGTGCCACCGTGTGAAGTCACTCTACTCTGTACTTTCACAAATATTATTTTAAATAATCTTCATAGCAAAATGTGCATTAGGGAAGTCATTATGTTCAACTTCTCGATATATTCACAACAGTTTTAAATTAGTATGAAAAGCTAGAAATAACTCAAAGAATATTTAATGACCAATTGTGCTTAGAATATCCGACCCTTTAAAAAAGCCTAAGTGATTTTTCACCAGCAATGGCTGTGGACACCAGAGAGTAATAAAGCACAGAGCAATTCAGTATGTGCTTATTGAAGGAATAAATGTTGAAGTTTCAGGAGAAACACAAGACCCATCTCTGTGTTTGCTAGTATAGACTCTAATACAGGATCCCGAGCAGCAGTAACATCGACCCAGGGATAAAAACACTCAGAATATGGGACTAGGGAAAATTTCTTCCATGAGACATTACCTAAAATGCTATTCTGAGGCATTGTAGCTACTGATTCTTTCTTATAAGTGTATGTGACTTTAGTCAAATCATTGAACACTTCCCTAGTCTTCTCTGGATTAAAATGTGAAAGTTTCTAACACTGGGCCTGACACATTGAAGGCACTCAACAGATGTTGGCTCTTTTTTCCTATCTGCATAATTTCTACTCCCTGGGGCTTCTTTCTTCCTGCTAGCTGAAGTTATATATTGTGCTCCCATAAATTGGCCCAAACCCACATCTTTCCCTCAGAATGACTGCTGGGATGAACTTCTACTGTAAACAGAGCCCTGATGTTGATTGGAGCATACTTCCTAAGGACAAACTCATGTTCTCTAAAATAAGGAAGGACCAAATGCCAGTGCAGGCCTGGAAAATGCCTACCAGTTTTTGTTTAGCTACAGCGTGGTTTTCCTCATGTTTTAGATCTGTGCAATATGGATGGAGAATAAACTGTTCTTCTCTCAGAATTCCACACATCTCACAAAAGAGTAAGATGATCTTGTTACTAATCTTGTGCTATATCTGGTTTGGGGAGGGATATAGTCTTACAAAGTAAACTCAACAAAGCCAATGGCACCAGTAATGGTGCCTGCTCGGTACCAGACTCCTGCCTCTCGTCTTGTCCTGATCAAAAGGCTGACATAGACCTCTTGATTCCCCTTGCATGACCATCCCGACAGTGAGCATCCAACATGCCAACCCTGGTTTCAGTGGCTCTTGGTCTCCATGTGAAGGGGTGAGTATAGGCCCTCCATGTGAGAGGAGTCTGCCTTTCCCATCTTGAATGAAGAACTGCACAGGGTTTGTCAGATCCACACCGCAAGTTACCTTAGCTCTAGAATTTAATTACAGACTATGAAACATGCCTGCTGGAATATCATCTAAAAAGGAAGAAAGCATTTCAGGTCACACCTAAAGCACTTTTCCTAATGGCAGCCAAAATTCAGACCTTGACATTTTGAAGGCTCAGTGACCAGGTATCTTAGTTGGAGCTGCTTGGATTTTTCTAGAACCTGTCTCTTTAATAAATGATTTGATATCTTCCCTGTTTGCTTTTAGTTCTCTCAGTTGTAAAGGGCTTTTTTTTTTTTTTTTTTTTTTTGCATCAATAATCTTTCTGCCCATTTGACTGCAGGAATTTTAAAACATGGTTATTGTTGATGGTAGAAATTCTATCACTGTATGACTGATGATTAAATAGCAATGTATTCCACTGTACTTCCACCTTGAGAGCTAAATCTCCTTGTGTTCTAAGGAAGGATTTCATTAAGAATTTCTCTTATATCACCAGAAAATCCTTTAGTGGAAAAGAGTTTAATATTTAACAGCTTTGAGCCATTTTTTTCCCTTCTTTTCAACTGGCCTCTTTACAAAGTCTGCTTAAAAACAGGAAACCACACATCTCCACCCCAGCACAACCCACCATCCTATCAATTTGGATCTACATTTTTTTTTTCTTCTGAGTTTGACCAGGTGCCTGCTTCTACCTTGCGGCAAACACTTCCAGGCACTCCCTGGAGGTATTCTCCTAGCCCTTCTCCAGAACATTCACGATTTCACCTCCTGGGCTGCAGGGCACACTCTGCCCTCCCTCTGAGCTCTCTCTCCTGAGTCATTGCCACCCTGCCCTGTTCTGACTTCCCCTTCTGTGCAGAAGTGTTCCAGCAGCCTCCTTAGCAGTTTCTTATCATAAAGTTTGTTTTAAAGAATTGCCCCTCTAAAAAAAAATAAGAAACCGTAGAGGGTGGTAGCCTCATTCAGAGATTTTCTACTTTGCTCTGTGCCCACCTGAAATCTCCCCGACCCAAGGTATTTGAACTTACATTCAGAGCTTCACGTCTCTGTCCGGGGTGCCTCTGTCTCTCAACTCTGACTTCTGAGTACTGGCAGTTAGAACAGGAAGGAAGTTAGTGAGAAAAAAAAAAAAGTTTTAAACCTACTTGAAGAGGAAACCCTGGGCTATCTCAAATCCTGTTCCTTTGCACTGCCTATCTCTTAATCAGCCAACTCGAGCGGCATTCTTGTCAATTAATGGCACATGTAGGAGCATGACAGACCATATGACGTGGAGATGCATGAATGTACACGCAAGAGTGTGGAGCCTATAGCCATGAGTATTATGAATAATTGTGCAGATATGTCTGAAAAATCAGGTCATTTCAGTGCATAAGCCTACTGAGGCAAGTAGCCTAAAACCAGTAGCACTAAATTCACATAGGCTTCACTTTGTACCACAAACTTCTGTTCTTATTGGGTCTCCGCCAGCTTCGTTATCAGCCAGATATGTTGAAAGTTTGCTGGCAGTGAATGTAGAGTGCTAAGGAGTTATGACTGTTGATTGCATATATTTGGTCCTAAATTTAAAAATGTGTCCTTAAACAGATTTTTTTTGGAGTTTTGTTGGATGCAATGTCAAGATGTAGCTTCGTATTGCAGCACAAACAATCGAGTGTTGTTTGTTGTAGTTTTTGCTGATTTTTCTTCAAATGAAACAACAAACTGAAGTACTGCCTTTGATTGAACTTAGGAATGCAATTACAGACTAAAGTAAAACTTCATTAATTCATAGTCTTCTAACTCAGAATTTGTGTGACAATTTAACAAGTGCTAAAATTGACTTCGCATCATTTGAGGAAATGGTTTATGAGGTAATTTAAATGGGAACAAGTTGCAGAGGCCATGTTTAAACCATTTGAGGAAACAGTTTTTAAGCTTCCAAGCCACATTTATTCTATAATTCCTATAGCTGTTGCCAATCATAAGTGATTATTTATACTAATATTTCAATATTCAATATTTATACTACATCAATATGTTTAGTCTAATGAAGCACAAATATTTTCAGAAACTGACATTTATTTTGTGAATTTCACCTAAATGTACTGCATTTTCTTCATTTTATTTTATGAGTTGATAACACAGAATTTATCTTACCCTTAGAGTTAATAAAACTGAAGTGATCCAGGTTGCAGTCATTTGGTGTAAGAAAGCAGATTAACCTAGAAAAATATAAAAAGAAAAACAGTGCATAATTAAAATTAGTAAAAGTACTAAGAACCTAATACAGTTTTGTTCTATAAATTTCAAAAAATATGTACAGAAGACAGCCCTTGAAATAATGTATATAAATTTATTGTAAAGAAAAGAAAATACTAATTTAAACAGAAGGCAGCACAATTTTGCAGCTCTGTACCCTCAAGAGGGTGCACATCTATCCATTCAATAATATCTTTCTAGCACCGCTTTTTTTCCAGCTATTGCTTTAGGCACTGCTGTAAGCAACAGACAGTAGATAATATCTCTGCTTCCATGTGGAAATTATGGAACTTACATTCTAGTGAGAAGTTAGACAATTAAAATAACATAGAATAAATTAATTAGAACAAGGAGGATTTAAAAATCAGAAATGATAAATTTTTTTTTTTTTTGAGTTGGAGTCTCCCTCCGTCGCCCAGACTGGAGTGCAGTGGCCGCTCCCGGCCACCGCAGCCTCGACCTCCTGGGCTCCGGCGATCCTTCCGCCTCAGCCTTCCGAGTAGCCGGAACTACAGGCGCACGCTACCACGCCCGGCTGGTTTTTTGATTTATTGTAGAGATGAGGTCTCGCCTGCCCAGGCGGGTCTCGAACCCGCGGGCTCAGGCAATCCACTCACCTCAGCCTCCCAAAGGCTCGGGATTACAGGCTGAGCCACCGAGCCCGGCTAGAAATGATAAATTTATAGTCTACATGTCATCACCCATTTCTCATGCTATTAGGGAAGATAACACACGTCAAACATGACTTTATTTTTCTGCTGAGCCTAGTATATTCTCACAACTTTCCATAACACAATGCTTTAGGTACAGATGTGGGAAGATATGGAAGCCCCCCAAATCTGTAAAATCAGTACATATGGGGCAGTGCATGTGTGTATATGTGTGTTTATGTATGTGTATGCAAGAAGTTGTGCAAATGTGTTTAAAATCAGTCATTTCAGTGCATAAGCCTACTGAGGCAAGTAACCTAAAACCAGTAGCAATAAATTCACGTAGACTTTACTTTGTAAAGGAGAGCATTAATAATTTTATCAAATGCTCAAAGGGGTCCATGACCTCAAAAGGATTGAAAAGTACTAACCGAGATCGTTCTCTGGGTGATATAACAAAGGACTTTCAGTAAGTCTGAGAGCAACTTCTATGATTTCCTGAAATATCTTCTAGCATCACAGTCAGAGCATGGGTGTACTTGAAATTACCATTCACGTGTTTGTCTGTTTCAGGTCATCATTCATGTGTATTTATTAAATGGGAAAACAAAGACGAAATTCTTTCAGAAAACTAAAATGGCAGATACTATGCTTCTAGCCTATGCAGTCAAAAATGCATTACATTCTGAGACTCCCTTCCCCCTACCTAAGCTTCTGCAAATGTAAGAAAATGCCTGTCACTATCTGAAGAATGCTCTTATTCTAAGCACATTAGCACTTGTAGTGCCAAATGAAATCAACATAACTTGGAAACCTGCATAAGAATTTCCAGAAAAATGATCAAACCTTTCAAGTATTTTCCAGCTTTTCCTTGCTAGTAAAAGAATATGACTGAAAGGTAAATTCTGGACAAGTCTTTCATGTGGCAGTACTTTTGCTATGAGCCTGACAAAGTGACAAACGACTTCTGACTACTGAGACTTCCCCTTTTTGCACAGACATATTTCTTGAGGCGGAAAGTAAAGACACAGAGAAGGCTTTCTGCCCTGACAGCTGTCCATTCTGAAATGTGTACATGTAGCATTAACAGCAGCAAGGATAGAGGGAACAGTTGGAGTTCAGGCAGACATCCTGGCTCTGTCTCTTCCTGTCAGAGTGTCCTTGAGCCAATGGTTTCATTTTTTTAATCCTTAGTTTTCTTGTCTGTAAAAAAGGTATAATACCAGCCTTCAGTGTTGTAGTAGGAAAGGTTGGAAACAACATGTGATAAGGCATCTAGCAGAGTGTCTACCTCATAGTAAGTGCTCAGTGAATGGATCATACAAGAAAATCATTGTTTCCATATTACATTTTGATCCTTGTTACTGCATAGCCAATGTTAGAATGCCCAAAGAGAGTCATTTTGGCTTAAGTTCTCATAATCAGTCCAATTATATCTCAAATATCACCCACTCCTTTTTTGAAGCTTTCTTCCACAGATCCTAGTCAAATATATATATATATTTGTTTTGTTTTGCTTTGTTTTGTTTTTCTGAACTCTTAGAGTGTGCATTGTTTATATGATAGAATTTAGTACTTTAGTAAACTAAATTTTGTATTGTTTGCTTTGTATTGTTAAGTGCTTATTTTCTGGGTTTTAGACTTATTTCTCCACCCAAATATACAATGTTCAAGGAAAGTGTTGTGTTACATGCCTTGCATTCCCTGAAGTGTCTAGCATAATACTTGACTGAATTTTGGAAGAATTTGAGCCATATACCTATACATATATATGTATATAGCTAGCTTATACAGTTATGCCAAGACTCTGCCCTGCGCCCTGACTTCTGTCTCCTTCTGGTGAGAATGTTGCCTTGAAAAATAATCAGTCTCAGTATAGTCATGTGTCAGCAAGGAACACTAAGACCCACTTTTCTTTTTCTTATTTTCTTCATGTATATGCCTATTGAACTGCATTATGTAGCATTTCACAGCATTGGCATAAAGGCCCTTTAAAAAATTCAAACACTTACCAATTCCTGGTCATATGCCAGGACCTTTGCAAAGGTACAGAAATAAACAAGACACAGTATTTGGCTTCAAGTTGCTAATGATGCAATGAGGGTAGACAGAAATAAACAAATTTAAAACGTTTGTGAGAATAAGAAAAGAAAATACACATGGGTTTTTTTGAGAGCATAAGTAAAGATATCATGGAAGGCTTTTTGGAGGAAGTGACTACAGTGCTCAGTCTCAAAGGAGAGTAATTGTTCATTAGTTGATACAGTAAGGGTTAGAAGTAGGAGAGACGGCATTTGAGGTAGAGGAGAGGCATGGGCAACAGCATGGCATCCCCACATGGTGTGGTGTGTGCAGGGAATTATAAGGAAGTAACTCGAGGTTTTTGGAATGTAAAGTGCAAGAAATACAAGGATGAGAAATGTGACCAGAGTGAGGCAAGCATGGAGTCCAGGTCACAGTGGACCTCTTATGAGATGTTAATAAGGACCTTGACCTTGATCCTGTCTGTGGCAGGGACCTTGTCATATTCAATGGTGCATTCAAGAGGCTAGAACACTACCTAAACACATAGTAGACCATCAATAAATATCTGTGGAATAAATGAAAAAAGCTAATGCACTGGGATGCATCAATGTTTAGGAAAGATGAAATAAGAGATGCCCACAAAGATGCAGAGGAGGAATGACTTGAGAGAGAAGAGGAGACTAGGGGAGCATAGAGAGAATGGGAACAGTTATGCCTACTGACTCAGATCACCTAGATTTCGGCCTTGAATGAATATTTATTTGATTGCTACAATGTTTAAGATGCTGTGCCTCCTCTTATAAATTTTAGAATAACAAATTTATTTAACTTTGTATCTTGAAGTAATTGTATGCTTAGAAGAAGTTGTGAAGAAACGTACAGGGAGCCTCTCCCATTTACCCAGGCTTCCTCAATGTCAGCACCTCCTTAGTCATGCATGGTATCAACCCAGGAAACTGACATGGGTACAATTCACAGAGCTTGCTCAGATTTCTCCAGTTACAAACGCACTTGTGTGTATGTGCCTGCATGTCTGTAGGTCCATGCAATTCTATTGCATGTGAAGCTTCTTGCAAATACCACCACAACCGAGATAAGAAATTCTACCCTGAGGCTTACTTGTTCTCCCTTTCCATAGCCACACCTACCTTCTCCCACACTCATTTCTAACTTTGACAGCCACTAACCTGTTCACCAGCTCTATAATTTTGAATTTTAACGATATTGTATAAATGGAATTATACATGCTTTTGCAATTGACTTTTTTCATTTAGCATAATTTCCTTGAGGTTCATCTAAGTTGTTGTGTATATCAGTGCCTTCATTTCATTTCTTTTTATGGTTGAGCAGTATTTCATGATACAAATGTGTAACTATTCACCCATTGTAGGAAATTTAGATAGTTTCCAATTTGCGGCTAGTATGAAGCTGTTATAAACATTTATGTACAAGTTTCTAAATGAATCTAAATTTTTACCTTTCTGGATAAATACCCAAGTGTGCAATTGTTAGGTTGTATAATAAAACCGTGTGTAGTTTTAGAAAAACCTGCCAAACTGTTTTCACAGTGGCTGTGTCATTTTATATCTCCACTCACAATGCATGAATGATTCAGTTTCTTCATATCTTTGCAATTATTTAGTGCTGTCATTATTTTTTAGTCATTCTCTTAGGTGTGTGGTGAAGTCTCATTGTAGTTTGAATTTCCATTTCCCTAATAGATGATTATGGTGAACATCTTTTTGTGTGCTTTCTATCTATATATCCTATTCAGTGAATTGTTTATTCATGTTTTTGTTCATTTTCTAGTTGGATTGTTTGCCTTTCTAATGTTGCGTTTTGAGAGTTCTTCATATTTTTCAGAAACACATCCTTTCTTGAGGATGTGATTTTAAAATATCATCTCCCAGTATATAATTTGTCTTTCAATTTCTTCATCAGGGTTTCCCAAAGCAAACATTTTTAATTTTAATGAGGTACGTGTATCACTTTTTCTTGTTATGAATTGTGTTTTCACTGGCACACATGCACCCTTTTACTTAGTCCAAGGCCCTGAAGATTTTCTCTCATATATTTTGATTATAGTCGTAGAGTTTTACATTTCATATTTTAGTCACTGATTTGAGTTAATTTTTGTACTAGGTACGAGGTTTTGGGTGCATAAGGTATGAAGTTAAGATTCTTCCTCCTCCTCTTTGTCTTCCTCCTTCTTCTCTTCTTCTGTCTATGAATGTCCATAGACAAAATGTTCAGGCACTCCAGCATCATTTGTTGAATAGGTCACTCCTTCTCCATTGAATTACTTTTGTATCCTTGTCAAAAATCAACTGGGCATACTTGTGTGGTTTTATATCTGGGCACTCTGCTCCATTTCATTGATCTGTAGATTTTCTTTTCTTTCCTTTTATTTTCCTTTCCCCTTTCCTTCCGTTCCCTTCCTCCCTCCCTCCCTTCCTCCCTTCCTCCCTTCCTTTCTTCCAAGTCAGACTCTTACTCTGTCACCAAAGTTGCTGGAGTGCAATGGCATGATCACAGCCTTGACCTACTGGGCTCAGGCAATCCTTCTACCTCAGCCTCAACCCTTCTTTCACCCCCCAGTAGCTGGGACTACAGATGTACACTACCAAGACTAGCTTTTTTTTTTTGTAGAGACAAGATCTCACTATGTTGGTCAGGTTGGTCTTAAAATCCTGGCCTCAAGTGATCCTTTGGCCTCAGTCTCTCAAAGTACTGGAATTACATGCATGAGCCGCTGTGTCTAGCTGATCTGTAGGCTTTCATAGATTCCCTTTATGTGAATTCTATTTTCAAAGGGATTTCTCTATCTCCTATTTCTACTTTTATAAGAGTTTTTATTATTACTGGGTTTTGAATTTTGTCAAATGCTTCTTCTTCATCAATTGATATGATCATATGATTTTTCTTCTTTAGTCTGTCAATAAAGTGGATTATATTGATTCATTTTTGAGTATTCAACAAGTCTTATAAAGCTGAGATAAATCCCACTTGATTGTGGTGTATTATTCTCATTTAAATGATTATGTTTGATGTTATAATATTTTATTAAGAATTTTTGCATCTAAATTTATGAGAGATATTGGTCTGTATTTTTCCTTTTTTACTACCTTTGTCTGGTTTTGGCATCAGGGTAAAACAGCTCTCATGAAATAAGTTGGGAAGTCTTCCCTCTTCTCTATTTTCTGGAAGAGAATATTGTATTTTAATTAATAATTTATGTTTTCAAAATTAATTATGTTGTTCTGGAGAATCAAATTGTAGGATATTACGGGGAAGAGGGGTCAGACGTGTACATTCCTCCTTCACATTTAGTTTGCTCCTTCCTGGAGTCCACTGTGCATTAGTCAGAGTGGAAAATTCAGTCTAGGAGATTCTAAATGTGGAGGGAATGTGACTTTAATGTGTCTTCCTACTCACTGGTATTTTAAGAAGCACTAAAGAAAGATTAGAGATTAGCACTCATGTAAGCAGCTTAAAGGACAGCTAAATTTTTAATTACCTTCTAATTACTTAGTACCTGCACTTTAACTACTTTAATAAAACTTCCCCATCTGTCAGAAAGCATCAAGAACTGAAAATTATAGTGCTATAGAACAAAACATTTTATTATAATTAGTTGTAAACATAATAAATTCAGTTTGTATACAGTAGAACTTAACTCCTTGAAATGCACATATGAGTTGTGACAAATGCATAGTTATATTCACCGCTATGATCAAGATACCAAATAGTTGCATCATCCATCATAAAACTCCTTGTGTTTTCTTTTTGAAGTCAACTTCTCCTCTCAACCACAATCCCTGGAAACCAGTGATCTGTTCTCCAACCCTATAGTATTGCCTTTCCAGAATGTCACAAGTGAAATTAGACAGTATAGAGTTTTTTGACTGTGGATTTTTTTCCACTAGTAAAATGTTTCCAGGATTTATTTATGTCGTTGTGAGGTTCCTGCTAGCTCTATCTCTTCTTTCTGTGAAAACTTAGAGTGTCCAGCACTCTTAAAGTCCTTTTGGGGAAATTCCTTGGTGATTGGTCACCATGCTTAGAGTCATACAGTCTCATTACCTGGTTGACAAGATCAGACATAAACTAACCAGAAATCAGTCATCACTAGACTAGCCAATGGGCAATGAAGTTGCTGTGTAGAAAAACTCTGTCTAACAGAGGTAGTATGTATTGGCTTCTGCTTGGCTAGCCTTCTCTAATCCCCTGAGACTCAGGAGCAGCAAGAGTAGTAGAGACAGAGTCAGAAAGAGCAGCCACCAGAAACAGAGAACAGTGGGTACATTCTCTAAAGATATAGGATGATGACCAGAACACTAGCACTTCATAGTATCTTAAATAATGTTTCATTCTCTACAAAGTCTTGTTGAAGGTGGTTGAGGTCATTGTCTTCCCGTATCCTTATACTATTGCTCTTTTTATTCTTTCTTTTCAGATATTCCAAAATTTCTTCTTTTATTATTTCTTCTGTTTCAAGAATTTCCCTTAGTCATTCTTAGAGTAAGTCTTCTATTTATAGATACTCTTAGTCTTCCTTTGTCTGAGGATGCCTTTATTTCCCTTTCAATTTACTTGATATAGAAGTCAGGGTTGATAGTTCTGTTTTGTTTTTTTCCAGGACTTGAAAAACGTTGTGCTGTATCTAGTCCCCATGATTTCTGATGGGAAATCTGCTGTCAGTCAAATGGTTTTCTCCTAGGTAAGATATTGTTTCTCTTTTACTGCTTTCTAATTTTTTTCTTTGTCTTTAGTTTTCTGAAGTTTGGTTATGATATCTTTTGGCTTAGATATCTTTGACTCTAGCCCATTGGAGTATGCTCCTTCTTGATGCTATATGAGGGGCACCCCAAGACCCCAGAATTTATTTGTAAAATATTGTGTATTTATTCTTGCATTTTAAATGTCAATCACCTTCAAGCTACTCTCCATTTGATACACTATACCTATGAAGACACTTTTTCCACTGCTCAAAACAGTTTTTGAACTCATCAATTGTGATGCCTTCTAGTGCTTCTGCTGTTTTTTGTTTCACCTTTATCACATCATCAAAACATCCTGTGAGACAAAAGAAAAAGACACTTGGGAAGTTTGGGTGAATAGGGTGAGTGGGGCTTGGGGGTCATGCCATTTTTGGTCAGAAACTGCTGAGCACTCAGCACAGGGTGGGCAGGGCCTAGTCATGGTGGAAGAACTAGTTACCTGTTTGCCACAAAAAAATTCACTGAAGCCAAATTCAGCTTTTCACAACACTAGCCGGTACACTGATGTTGATGGATTCCTAGAACATTTACCCAGTGGGGAAAGCCTGCACTACATGGGGCCGGCCTCCAAAAAGATAATTCCAGGTTTTGGGGGATTCCTCCTGATACATGTATGTCCTGCATTAAATTCAAACAATTTTCAGCCTTTATTTCTTCAAGTACTTTTTTAGCCTCATCCCTTTTCTCCTTCCCTCTGGACCTCTGATGACATTAACGTGAAATCCTTTAGTCTCATAGTTCTCTGAGGTTCTATTCATTTTTGGGGAGTCTATTTTCTTTCTTTTGTTTAGATGGAGTAATTTCTATTGTTCTGTCTTTAAGTTCACTGATCCTTTCTTATTTTCTCTCCATTCTGTTGTTGAGCCCATTCACTGAGTTTTTCAGTGTTGGTCATCATGTTTTTACGTTCTAAAATCTTTATTTCATTCTTTTTTAGATGCTCTATTATTTCTGATTGCAGGTAAAAAAAAAAACAACTCAGATTTTTTTCCACTTGGACTTCTCTAACACCACTCTGTTAGAATGAAGATGGGGGCCTCATTATCACTGATTGGAAATGAAAATCCAGAATCCCAGTGTGTCTTTCTCTTATACTACCCAGGTTGGGAGGAGAGGGTCACTACATTATAACTGGGCCAGGTTGAAAGTCTTGGCTCTCCATTCAGCCTTTGCAGAGTTGGGCCATGTTTTTTTCCCCATAATCTTTTATTTTTATGTTTTTTGTCTATGTTGCAATTTTCCTGGTTATTTGTTAAGAGCAAGCAGAATTTGGGGGAGGATTTTTCTCCTGTTGGTATTTTGGAGTTGCTGTCTTTTCCTGCATCGACTTCAGGACATACAAAACAATAAAAATATTCCAGAAATGTATTGCTAGATTGTTCCTTTGGTTCTAAGTTCCCCACTTGGTTTGACTTGTTATCTCAAGTATTTTAGAATATTCCATGCTTGCTTCATATATAATATCCAGTATTTTTAGCTGTTCTTAGCAGGAGGCATGGGAAGAAATATGTCTTCTCCATTTTGGTCCAGAACCAGAAGGGACATAGAATTTTAAGTCTATAAAGCAAGTTAAGAATTTTCTAATTCTAAGCCCTTGAGAGCCATGTTGGAATCACTTTAAGGTAATTTTTTTTCAAGTTATACTCTTGGATTTCCCCACACCTCTATCTTTTCACTCTCCATTCTCCTGGGTCCCCATGAAGGAGGTGGATTGTGGTATGACATCAACTACTGTCACTGAGAATAACTGGATTGTAAATCTTGTTACTGATGAATGTAGATTATTTTTCTCAAATGTGCTGGGAAGGAAAAAAAAAAAAGAACCCTGGCACCCCAAATCATTCATTTTACGTATGAGGATGCTTAAACACAGAGAAGTGACAATCTTATCACATAGCAAAGAAGTGATAAATCCAAGTTTACATTACGGTCTAGAATAGTACTTCTCAAACATTAATGTGCAAATGAACCACCTTGTACCTTGTTAAAAATGTACATTCTGATGTAGTAAATCTGCAGCATAGCCTGAGATCTTGCATTTTTAACAAATGCACAGGTGGTGCTGATGCTGCTGCCTTTGAGTAACAATGTTCTAAAACACTTGTTCAGCTTATAGCTCTTTCCACTGCCCTTAGGAATGGCAGTCTTCCACCAAGGAAATGGGGAATATGTGAGAGTTTGACAGATAAGCCTCTAAACATCCAGGTGCCTGGTATGTAGGAGAGAAGGAAGATGCGAATGGTAATGGACATACAAAGGAGAGACTGGAAGAACCTATCGAGAGACTTAGCACTTTACTGGCTTGGCAAAGTATTTGCTGCCTTCAGAATGCTCTAATTTTTGAAAAAAACATAAGAAACCATAGAAACAACTCTTAAGCTGTTTAGTTGCTCATGTAATCTGCTTGGAGTTGCAGGTTAAGAATCTTTTCCTAAAGATCTAAAAATCAACCTCCCATATGACCCTGCAATCCCCCTAATGGGAATATACCCGGAGGAACTCAAATCACTCTATGAAAAAGACACCTGAACATGCATGTTTATTGCAACATTATTCACAGTAGTGGAAACATGGAACCAACTGTGTTGCCCATCAAAAGAGAACTGGATAAAAAAAATGTGGTACATATACATGATGGAATATTATGCAGTCATAAAGAAGGACAAAATTATGAATTTGCAGCAACTTGGATGGACTTAGAGTCTATAATACTGAGTGATCTATCACAGAAACAAAGAATTGAGTATCATATGTTCTCACTCATAAGTGGACCTTGAATAATTATTGTAATACTATAGGAAAAGGATTGGCAATAGTGGGACACTGCTGGGGTGGGGGGTGGGGTGGGATTGGGGATAATGGGAATCTGCTGGGGTGTGGTGGGGGCACACCTCATCAACAAGGGCACCTGCATAATGAACATTTGTATACCTAACCCTGAATTGTGCCCTACATCTTTGAAATAAAAAATAATAATAAAAAAGAATTTTTTCCTGTCTAGGAGGGATAAGTTGACCTTCTTTCTCTATAATCTTAGGGAGTGCAATCTGGAGAAGACATACTGCAATTCATTGTCAAGGCACAGAAGTGACTAGCAAACAGGTTGGTCCATGTCTGCTTTGCTGTAGTATGGTAGAAAGATGGTTGAATATGCAAAATGCTTCCAAACTTGGGCCTTGATCCTGGCTGCATTATTTTGTTTTTGCTTTAATTTCTGCAAATTTATTTAATGTCTCTATTAATAGAGAATTATTGCATTCTCATGTCTCTTTCTACATTGTTCTATCTCCACCATTAATTATATTTACAGTCTTAAATAGGTCACTTAATTTCTTTATGACAAATTTGTAAAAAAAAAAAAAAGCTTAAATGATACTGGCATATAAGTTAAGATCTATTTAGAATAGTATAAGTGATATGCAAATTAACACTAGTGTCTCAATGCAATTGGAAGACTGAGTCAAGTATCTCAGTGAATTGGATTGTAGCCTGAGCCCTGTACCCTAAAACCTTTTAGTAGGAAAAATACAGCAATAGATTCTTAAGTAAATATTTCAGTTAGCAATTTCTAACTATCACTTGGGCTCTTTCTTTTTCAAATTTACCAAATTTGATATCATTCCTGACTCAAAGTTTCCATCTCTTTGAAGGTGTATACACAATACCAGTTACAGAGAGATACTGTGTGTTTTCCAATGTCACTGCTTACATGATCAACATCTCTACTGCAGCAGAAGGCACTGTGGTTCCCTTTCTTCTCTCCAGTTATCCAGAGCCCCATAATAAATATGTCACTGTGTAAGTGTGTGTGTAATTGTTAGCATGAGTATGTATGTATATCAGGGAATGGGTAGCAAGGACTAAACGTAAGAATGAAAAAGGACAGAACACATTGAAGTACAAATGGAAATCTGTCCTTGGATAAACAACTTGTGTGTGTTTATGAAATCGATACCTGTTTCCTGATTGAAGAGAGCCCAAGGCAGTTTGGAAGAGCATCTGTTTATCAGTAAATTGCTAAGCCTGTCCTAGTTTCACTCCATGTTCTTCTGACGTCTTTGTACCTCGGTTGCTGTTCTAAGCTTATGACAATGGGATTAAGTAGCATGAGGGTATTACAGAGAGATAAATCAGGATGCAAAGATCCTTTTGTCTGTTGCAAAGAAGGCAACTGGACAGCTTATAGAAACAACATTCAGCTCTGTGAGTATTTCTCAACTTCTGGTAAGTTTGAGCGGGATATCACTGAATGGCATTGAAGGGTTGATCTGGTTCTAAAACAAACAAAAAATAATGGAAGAAGAGAACATGTTGGACCTAAAACCTGAACTGGGGCTAGGGGTGAAAATGGGAAAGAACATGAAGGAGATATACCCAAACCTCCTTGGTATGTCATACACAAGCTCATGAGTAAAACTTGATTATTACAAGGTCACTGCAAACCTTGATTACAGAGTTCATTTAGAAGGAACTCAAAAGTGACCCTCCCTGTTTGTGGCTCCATAGCAAACAGCTTTCTGGGAAAGAAGGGATCTGGGGCACGGAATAATCACAGAGAAAACAGTTCTTTACTCCCAGTATGTGCTTGAAAAATTAGCCCAGGAGGCTGTTGTGAGACTGTGACGCTATGGAGATTGCGAGTGAGAGTGAGCATGGGAATGACTGCAAGGCAGTGCGGGTGGCGTAGCATTCTTTCATTGAGGTTAAAGTGTTTGTTTGTTCCATTCCATAGCAAGGTACTTGCTGAATTTTTGTTGTTGTTGTTTTAATAGCTTTGGCTTGGGTCTTGCTTGGCTCTCCAAATTATTGCTTCTATCTGCCTCAGCAGGATCCTGGGTGACATTTATGGGCTCAAGTCCATCAGTAAAAGAAATAGTACTCCCCTTCCTACCTCTCTGCAGCACCTTTTTAAGTTCATCAACAGTGTACGTGTCTATCTATCTATTATCTTTGCAGAGAAAAAGAGAAATAGAAGTCTAGGATAATAATAGTGGTAAAAGAAAGGCTGTTCCAAGAACCTTCTGAAACTGCTTTTCCTTAGCTAGAATATATGAAGAATCATTCTCTGTAGATTTATACAGCTGAGATTTGCTTCCTTTATTCTAAGTTGATACTATCTCCAGTTCCCTACAAAACTATGCCTTGAAACATTAATTCTCTGCATTCACTTCTTCCTGCAGAAAAACAGTTTGTAATCTTCAAAAGAGGAAAGGCTAGCATCACTTTAAAGGCAAGAAAAATTTCTGCCTCACAAAGGAATAAATTACTTGACACTTTTGGAGGTAAAAATGTAAAACTTCCTCTTATAGATAAAATCAAGTCTAACACTAAAATTTTGAATTATTCAGTTCCAGAATGTCCTTGAAATCTCTAGGAAAGCATGGTCAGAATGAGTTTAGCCTTTGGTGTTATCCAGACAACAGTACTGGCTTCCAAGGCAGGAAAGGGTCATATTTGTTTTCTTCTTCCCAAAGGTTTTACAGAGAGAACTGGAGGGTAATTTTGTGACAGAAACTCTATAGGGATTGGTTGACTGTTCGGGCTACTCACTATAGTGCAAGTCCAGAGGACCAAGAGGATCCAGGGATTAACCTGGCAATTGTTATGGAACACCTTCTGAAGAATATTCTATTCCATAATGCATCAAACTTAGAATTAGACACAAAGACTGTTTAAGCCTGGAGATGTAACTTCAAAATTATGTAAACTTTCAGAAGACTTGCAGAACAAAGGGGAATGTCATCAGGGGAATATGGAAGTCAAGAGTGACTTTTAAGCTCTTTGGGTTTGCTGTTAGGGGCATCAGAGTAATTCAAGGAAGGATTCTTAAAAAAAAAAAAATTAAGACCATAAATAAGTTAACAGTTGGGGCATTTGAGGGAAGTACAGGATTATCCAGCAAGTGTTGATGACAATTGCCTCTCTGATGCATGGCACAGGCTCTTGAGCACCTGGCCCAGGGGAGGGGAGTACAGAGTTCAGGTGAACATGTGTCATAGATTTGTTCCATAGTTTCCTTGATTCCCAGGTCTAGTATATACTCACTCTTTTTTTTTTTTTTTTTTTTTTTTTAGCATTTTGTACTAGATGCTAGACTTACATTATCTCCTTTAATTTTCCCCATATCTTTAAAAGGAAGAAAGTATTACTTTATTCATTTTATGGATGGAATGAGGCCCACAAAAAGTTATGCAACTCATCTAAGGTCACATAGCCAGTTCTGCAGAACAGGAATTTGAAACTACATCTGTTTGATTCTAAGGAGAATATTCTTCACAATGTGTTACCCCTGAAGGGTAATTAGACCTATTAGGGTCACCTTAGGCTCTCACATTATAAACTCTGACTCTAACATAATAGAATCCTAGTTAGGATTTTCAGATAAAACAGAGGATGCCCAGTTAAATTTGAATTCCAGATAAACAACAAAGGCTTTTTTAAAAATTATAAGCATGTACTATGACATACCTGGGATATACTTTTACTAAAAAGTAATATGTTGTTTATTTAAAATTCAAATTTAAATAAGGGTCTTGTATTTTTATTTGCTAAATCTGGCAATCTTTATCCTACTGTCTCTCCAGATGAGAGAAAAGAAAGTTTATGGTTTCTTACTACTTTGGAAATAGTAGAGAGTTCAAAAAAGTTGATCTGAGAGAAATTTTCTAGTTGTCCTCTGTGTCTTTGACAAAGCCAGAATGTGCCAGTTTCTGTGGTCTACTCTGAGCATAGTGCTGACCTTGGCTGCCCACCACCAAATCCCAGAGTCTTAGCCACCCTTGGGAGAGGTACAAACCTTGCCTGCTGACCAAGGCTAGAGAGTCCCACAGTAAAAGAATTGAGTTTAGTGAGCAGAGAAACTAGCGGAGTATTTCTTAAGGTCACTGAGGGCTTTACGAGGTGAAGACCAGCTAGTGCCTTCTCTGTGTTCTGATGGAGAAAGTCATAGGGTCAGATCTCATTGCCTTAGGCTTAGGGTATTTGTCTAATTTCTAAATTAATTTATTACCTCATCTGACAAATATTAATGATATATCTTCTTTGCATCATGCACTGTTGTAGGTTCTGAGATTATAGAAATAAACAAAAACTGAAAAAAACAGTCTCATGAAGCATATTCCAGTGGGGACAAAGGAAGAATTCACAACAAAAACAGATGACCCAGGGTCTTGGCCAGCTTCATCAACCCTGGTAGCAGGTCACAGATTATTCAGTGTATTTCTACTAGACAAATTGAGAGTGAAATGGGGGGAGGGAAGGTGAATAAGAAAAATATAACTTGGAGACAAGGATAATAATTTAATTTTAAAAAATCTCGGAGGCAAAGATAACAAGTTAAAGCTGACTTTGGAAAAAATAAGAAAAAATAATGAACTTGAAGATTTGAGGGATTTTTAGCATGGCCAGTAAAGAGAGTAGTGCTTAGTATGAGCCAGAGACTGTCAGAGAGAATTGCAACTAAGAACATTAGCATAAATCTGTAATTGGTGAAATAAGAAATCCTATGCAAACAAAGCTCCTGTGTACTAGATTATGGAGGGGGTTGACTCAGGGTAAGAGATTAAGGCTATTTGGAAGTTCATTGGAACATTGCAGAATTTTCCTTCTAAGAGTAAGTTTTGTCAACTGTTGTGAAAGAAAAAATATTGTCATCCTAAAGCTTAACACTTTAAAAAGTTTATCTGTATCCATAATTTTCTTTGATTTGTATTTGAAGAATGGTGAGGTACATTTCTGTAGCCAAATTAAAGTCTGGGAACACCATATTCAAGAGGTTCATGATTTGGACAGGAGAAAATGTTGAAGATTTTTGAGAAAGGTGTGACTAAAAAACTTATATCTGGATATGAAGTTAAAGTACAAACTTATTTAATCATCCTGCATTAAATTCTTTACTTGAGTGTGTGTGTGTGTGTGTGTGTGTGTGTGTATTACGATGTATTTAACATATTCTTGGATGTTCTCTGTCAGGACGTTTCATTGCAGGGATGAACGAAGGACCCGGGAGGGTGAGCGACTGTGTCATCCCCGGGAAACCATCCTGCCACTGGACAGCACCATGGTGAGTTCCCTGTGCGCGAGCGATTTAGGGTAAACATTAAGTACGACTTTCCAGGAAGTTCTACAGTGGTATTACGGCTGAAACATACGCCAGATGAGGCTATGCCATCTCTTCTCTGGAAATCTTTAAAAACAGATACATTCTTACCGACCAGGAATGATGTAGGTGCAGCCTGCCAGAAGATAGAGACTGATGACATTTTCCGTTTCCATGTGACATTTTAAAGACTATTTTACACTAAATACTTTAAATATAACTGGACCTGATTTCTCTGTAATTTCTGCCTTATTGTGTGTTACA